TTAATCTCATTATTTATCATTTCTGGTTTATTTTATTGGATCCTATGGATTCAAGTTACCATCTGGAGTTTTTGCCTTAGCTCAATACAACTTTGCTCCTACCCACCTCCTTTGTGCCATTATTGGAAAATATACTACATTCCTATATGTTGCAGACTTAACAATTCAATATATATGTATTATTTTATTTTTAAATCATTTAGTAGAAAAAGAAATAATTTTTATACTGTCTTTTATAGTTACATAATTACCTTTACCAGTGCTCTGTTTATTCATGTAGATTCAGATTAATGTCTAGTATCACTTGCTTTCAGCCTCAAGAATTTCTCGTATTTTTTATAAAGTGGGTTCTGCTAGCAACAAATTCTCTGTTTTTATATGGGAATATCTGTTTTTGAAAGATAACTTTGGTGTATTTATAGATTCTTGGTTAATAAGTGTTTTTCTGTGAATATGCCAATCCACTGCCTTCTGGTCTCCATTGTTTTTGCTGAGAAGTTTCTGCTGTTAATCTTATTGTGGTCCCCTGTAAGAGGGGAATCTTTTTTTTTTTTTTTTTCCTTTTGCTGATTTCAAGATTCTCTCCTTTGTTTTGGCTTTCTGCATTTTTATTATGATGTGTCTCTGCTCATCTCTTTATATTTATTTTACTCAGAGTCCATTGAATTTCCCGAGTATGTAGATTAATATTTTTCAGCCATTATTTCATCAGATATTTTTTCATCTCTTTCTGTCTTCTCCTGGTACTCACTTCTCCTGGTACCCATACTTATGGGTATATTATTGTACTTATTGGTATGCTACATTTGTCTGAGGTTCTGTTCATTGTCTCCTTTTTTATTCCCCATTTTTTGGGTTATGTAATCTATCAGGCTATGTACAGATGTGCTGCTGCTTTCTTTTGCTACTTCAGATCTCTTGAGCCCCTCTAGTGATTTCTTTCATTTCAGGCATACTTGTACTTATGAATTCAAGAATTTCCTTTTTGGTGGTTTTTATCACATCTATCTCTTTATTGCTATTCTCTATTTGGTATGACATTGTTATTTTACCTTCCTTTACTTCTTTAATTATGATTCCCTTAGTTGTTTGAAAATATTTATACTGGCTTCATTTAAGTCTTTGTTTAATCCAGTATCTGGTCACTCTCACAGGCATTTTCTTCTGTTACCTGCTTTTTTCTGGTACTTAGGTCTGGAATCATACTTTTCTGTTCATGTCTTACAATTTTTTCTTTGAAATTGGACATTTTAAATAATATATTGTAGTACTCTTGGAACTGGTCCCTCCTTCCCTCCCCTCACACAGGTACATTGTTATTTGCTTGTTTATTAGTTTAGTCATTAACTCGATTGAGTGAAGTCTGTTCCACCCCCACTCATAACCTTCTTCCTTTTGAGTGACACTTTAGGACCTGTGGACTACATGAAGCATGGAGGCAGTATCCTCAAATCTTTTTTTTTTTTTTTTAAGATTTTATTTACTTAGAGAGCATGTATGGTGGGGGTGCTGAGAGAGAGGGAGACCAGCAGACCCCTGCTAAGTGGGGAGCCCCACGTGGGGCTTAATCCCAGGACCCTGAGATCATGACCTGAGCTGAAATCAAGAGTAGGATGCTTAACCAACTGAGAGACCCAGGTGCCCTAAGCATCAGGTCTTTATAGCTCGCCTCTCCCAGCATGACAGCAATGCCTTAAAGGCAGGGTAAACAAGGGCAGTTGAGGCCCCAGTATTCTTAGCAGTACCACACCTAAGATAGAGTCTCTGGCCAACCATTGATGGCTAGGCAGAAGAAGGGTGTCCCCACCACTCAGCCTCACTTGCCCAGAACTTTTGCTCATTAGTGTGTGGGAGCAGGATAAGAAATGCTGCCATCCTATGCCTTCTGGAAAGATTGCCCTCCAACTAAGAGCTGCAGGGAGAGGGAGCCCTACTGTGTTTTTGCTTCACTAGTCTGCACCTTTTGTCTTGCTGAGCTAGGAGAAATGAGGTGGGAGTGATCTTGGTTTAGATATCAGACTTATGTTGTTCCTAATGAATTTTGTGGACTTTCTCGAATAGATGTTTCTTCACTTGCTATGTGCCCTTAGAACCATTTCCAGAGACTTTACATGGTTGGTTTTTTATTATTTTTTTTTTATTTTTTATTTTTTTAAAGATTTTATTTCTTTATTTGAGAGAGAGACACAGCGAGAGAGGGAACACAAGCAAGGGGAGTGGGAGAGGGAGAAGCAGGCTTCCCGCGGAGCAGGGAGCCCGATGCGGGGCTCGATCCCAGGATCCTGGGATCATGACCTGAGCCGAAGGCAGATGCTTAACGACTGAGCCACCCAGGCGCCCCACATGGTTGGTTTTTTAGAACTTTCTCAAGTTTGCTAGGGAGCTGGGTATGTGATGCGCTACTCATGCTGTCATGCTGGTAATTGATCTCAGGTTTTATATTTTTAAGGGAGAAAAATTATACCTAACATAATTATAATTACATTTGCACACACATACATAGTGAACAAGTTTTTAAGTGATTTACCTCTCTTGGTCCTTAATCCATGTATAAAAGTAGTGCCAGCTGATGAGAATTCTTTTAGGCAAATAATGAAATGGGGAATAGAGAAGAACACATTTCACTTTTTTTTTCTGCTTAAATTGGTGGTGAAACTGATTTCTCCACTGAGTTGCTTACATTTGTTCACTAAAAACATGAAATACTTTTTTTATTGATTTTGTAATCTAGGCCAGAATACTAATACAGAGATTTTTGTGGTTAATAGGGTTTGGTGTAGAGACAGGAAAAATACACACTAAGGAAGAAGATATTTGAAGCATTTTAAAGAGATAAAAATGTGATTGTCAATATTTATTTTATATTGTTTCTTTACATTATACAAACTTGAAATTTTCATCAAAATTATATTTTAATCTGATATTTTCCACTTATAGTATGGAATTGGCCACATTTTAAAAGGAATGAAAAGTTAAGAAAAAGAAAGTTCAATTATATGTTTAGGAAGTTAAAAATAAGGACATAGGTGTAAAAATTAAAAGAATTTATACTAAGACAATCATTAAGCCAACTAGAATATTTAGTCACTGTTTTCCTATGTGAAGGATGACATTGTTGATCCACCTTTACCACAGTGTAGAGCTTAGAAGTAGTTCACTGAGAACGATTTTACAATCTTTTTTTTTTTTCTTTTTGATAGAAAGCATGCAAGCAGGGGGAGGGACAAAAGGAGAGGGAGAGAGAGTCTTAAGCAGGCCTCATGCTCAGCACAGAGCCTAACTCTGAAATCATGACTTGAGCCAAAATCAAGTCAGATGTTTAATCAACTGAGCCACGTGGGCGCCCCGAATTATTTTATAATCTTTAAGAAATATTTTTAACAGCAAATTTCCACGTAATGCCCCAATACAGAGTCTTTGAAGTGTGCTCCCATAGTAACACTTAAGGATATCTCTGTAATGTGAGTGATTTTGGTAGCTTTACATAGATATACTTGAGTTCCAATGGTCACTTCTTTGATTGTTTTAGCTTACAGAGGAAGAATATTAAATTTAAAAATAAAATCTATAGAATTGGAACTAAACCCAACAAGACAGTTTTAGATTATCTAGATACATTACAGATTGTTCATAAATCGTAGATTATTTTTGTTTAAATACTCGTCACCTAACACTTTGGAGTTAATTCATTCGTATCTTACACAGAGGGATTTTTCCCCTCCGGAAGCAAAGATAACAGTCATTGATTCTCCTTACAGTCTTTTGTCTCCTGGAAGATTAACAGTTGGGTCATAACTTCTTAGCTCATTGTTTTATAAAATCATTTTATATTGACTAAGCTTTACATAAATACATAATCTTTGCAGCTACAGACTTAATTGAAAATACTATTCAGCTTTGGTTTGTGTCTATACCAAAATGAAGAATGTTTTGATGAAACTTATTTTAAAATAACCATATTTGGGGGAAAAAAAAGTATGTGGAGAAAAACACTGGGTTTTGAGGAATGGAGCTTATGTATTCAGAAATTTGAATTCAATAATTTAAGATAATTATGGTTGTATTTTTGGTTTGTTTTTGGAAACGTATTTGTTAAGCGATTGGTAGTTTAGTGCAGAAATAGATCGTAGGTATGAGTTTGTCATTTCTTGAAAGTTTTTCAGTTTTGAACAGTAACTGTGCCTAGGGGATACCAAGCAGTTAATTCTTTGACGTGTTCGCTCCTCAATCAAAATAACTTTCCTTTTATCTATTTTATGCAAAAGGATCACTCAAATAATTGAATTAAAAAGACCAAAGAAAAATATCTTTTTGCTATTTGAAAGATACTGCTGTTAAGCAAATTATCATAAATTACAGATGTAATTAATCCTTGGATCTTGAGAATCATATTTTTATTAGAGAATATAAAAGACAAAAGTTTTTAAATAAAATTATATAAAACCATATTATAGAGGTGCCAGTGTACTAGGCAATAATCTACGTTCAGTATAATTTTCATGTTGTTTAATTAGGATAATTTGAAGATAGTTTCATTTTCTGAAACTTGATTTCTTATGGTTTCTTTTTCTAATTCTATTATAATATTAAAATTATAAACTAATCATTGGAAACTTAAAATGGCATTTTATGTCAATTAATGACTCATACTATTTTTTTTTAAGATTTAGAGAGAGTGTGAGCAGGGAAATGGGCAGAGGGAGGACAGCTCATACTATTTAAATTCATAAGTATCAAGTCTACAGCCATACCACCCTGAACACACACACACACACAATCTCATCTGAATTCATAAGTATCAAGTAATTTCTATGTTTTCTCATCCAATGGAGCATGTTGAAGCATGAAGGACAGCCTTCATTTCATGAAATAAACATTTACTGTGCAGTATGTGCCATTCATAATGCTAAATGCTGAGAACATAGTCCCTGTACCAATGGAACTTAAAATTTGTGGGCCAGTATTTAATAATGAGCTTCTTTTATCTTATTTTCTTCTAGCCTAATTCTGGTGAACTGGATCCTTTATATGTAGTTGAAGTACTCCTGCGCTGTAGCAAAGAAAGTCTGAAAAATTCAGCTACTGAGGCTGCAAAACCAGCTAAACCTGATGAGAAAGGAGAGATGCAGGTTTGCACTTTATTTTTCATCTTCAGATTTCAAATATTTTTTGAATTATTTATAATCATTAGATTTCCTGAGTATGATTATAATGAACATACTATCTTGATTTCTAAGTGGGAAGATTTCAAGGCTTTTAAAGGTATGTTAAAGCCATCTAAAATATCAGAAGGGTGATTAATGAGATTAAAGCTCTGTTTCTATTATCAGATTGTGGTCAGGTAAATAATGAAGTGAAAGATAAAGAGAATTTAATAATATAAATTTTCACATGAAGTTGAATTTTACTTGAACTATAGTGATGTTTTACCATTTTTGTGATGAAATAACTTTGCAGTTTTACATCATCCATGCTGTTTATTACATTCATATGAAATACTGAAGCAGTAATTTGATAATTAAAAACCCTGCATAAGTTTCCTAAGTTGCAACCATTTAATTTACATGTGCTTTTAACAGAATTTTAGTTGAAGCGTAGTTGACATATAATATTATATTAATCTGAGGGGTGCAACACAGCGACCAGCATTTATATATACTAGAAATGCTCAAAAAGGGGCACCTGGGTGGCTCAGTCGTTAAGCGTCTGCCTTCTGCTCAGGTCATGATCGTAGGGTCCTGGGATTGAGCCCCACATTGGGCTCCCCGCTCTGCAGGAAGCCTGCTTCTCCCTCTCCCACTCCCCCTGCTTGTGTTCCCTCTCTTGCTTTTAACATAATAACCATGTTGCATGCACATGACAAGATTTGCATCCATCCATATTGTTGCACATGACAAGATTTCATTCTTTTTTATGTCTGAGTAATATTACTGTGTGTGTGTGTGTGTGTGTAACACATATTCTGTTCTTTATCCATTCATCTATTAATGGACAGATTGCTTTTATATCTTGGCTGTTGTATATAATGCTACGATAAATACAGGGTGCATATATCTTTTCAAATTAGTGTATTCATTTTTTTAGTGTTGATACCCAGAAGTGGAATTATTGGATCATATAATATTTCTATTGCTAATTTTTGAGGAGCTGCCACATTGTTTTCCACAGTGGCTGTACCCATTTACATTCTTAACAACAGCGCATGAGGGTTCCCTTTTCTCCACATCCTTACCAACACTTACTTCTGATCTTTGTGATACTAGGCATTCTTAGAGGTGGGTAGTGATACTTCATTGTGGTTTTGATTTGCATTTTCCTGACGTTTAGTGACACTGAGCATCTTTTTTTTTCTTCAAATATGATTTTTTTTATTATGTTAATCACCATACATTACATCATTAGTTTTTGATGTAGTGTTCCATGGTTCATTGTTTGCGTCTAACACCCAGTGCTCCATGCAGAACATGCCCTCTTTAATACCCGTCACCAGGCTAACCCATCCCCCCACCCCCCTCCCCTCTAGAACCCTCAGTTTGTTTCCTGAGATTAAGAATTCCTCGTATCAGTGAGGTCATATGATACATGTCTTTCTCTGATTGACTTATTTCACTCAGCATAATACCCTCCAGTTCCATCCACATCGTTACAAATGACAAGACTTCATTCCTTTTGATGGCTGCATAATATTCCATTGTATTTATATACCACCTCTTCTTTATCCATTCATCTGTCGATGGACATCTTGGCTCTTTCCACAGTTTGGCTACTGTGGACATTGCTGCTATAAACATCGGGGTGCACGTACCCCTTTGGATCCCTACATTTGTATCCTTGGGGTAAATACTCAGTAGTGCTATTGCTGGATCGTATGGTAGCTCTGTTTTCAGCTTTTTGAGGAACCTCCATATTGTTTTCCAGAGTGGCTGCACCAGCTTGCATTCCCACCAACAGTGTAGGAGGGTTCCCCTTTCTCTGCATCCCCGCCAACATCTGTCATTTCCTGACTTGTTAATTTTAGCCATTCTGACTGGTGTGAGGTGATATCTCATTGAGGTTTTGATTTGGATTTCCCTGGTGCCAAGCGATGTTGAGCACTTTTTCATGTGTCTATTGGCCATTTGGGTGTCTTCTTTGGAAAAATGTCTGTTCATGTCTTCTGCCCATTTCTTGATTAGATCATTTGTTCTTTAGGTGTTGAGTTTCATAAGTTGTTTATAGATTTTGGATACTAGCCCTTTATCTGGTATGTAATTTGCAAATATCTTCTCCCATTCTGTCGGTTGTCTTCCGGTTTTTTTGACTGTTTCTTTAGCTGTGCAAAAGCTTTTTATCTTTTTATCTTGTTTTTATTTTGTTCTCTCATTCATCTATTCTCCTCTGGACAAAATGACAAGATGGAAAAAATCACCTCAACAAAAAGAATAAGAGGCAGTACCGACTGTGAGGGACCCCCTCCCCCGCCGTCTGTCTTCCCAGATATTGCCTCGGATTCACTTCTCCGCATGTCCTACCTTCCAGAAAGTGGTTGCTTTTCTGTTCAGAGAGTTGTTGCTATTCTTTTCTTCGATCTCCTGTTGAGTTCGTAGATATTCAGAATGGTTTGATCCCTATCCAGCTGAATTCCCAGGACCAGATGAAATCCAGGTCTCCTACTCCTCCGCCATCTTCCTCCTTCCCCGATACTGAGCATCTTTTCATGTGTGTGTCAGCTATTTGAATGCCTTCTTTGGAAGCCTGTCTGTTCAGGTTCTCTGCCTATTTTTTAGTCATATTTTGTGTGTGTGTTTAGTTTTACGAGTTCTTTTTTTTTTTTTTTAGCCTCTTACTAGATATATCATTTGTAGATATCTTCTCCCATCAAGTAGGTTGCCTTTTCATTTTGTGGATGGTTTCCTTTGCTGTGCAAAAGTTTTATAGTTTGATGTAGACCCTTTTGTTTATTTTTGTTTTTGTTGCCTTTGCCTGAGGAGCCTGATTCAAAAAAAGTATTGCTAATGCAACACTACCTATTTTCTTTTTAGGAGGTTTTTTTTAAATTGTTTTTGTTTTTGTTTTTAATAGAATGTGAGTGGGGGTGGGGGAGGGACAGAAAGGGAGAGAGAATCTTAATCAGGCTCTGTGCCCAGCAGGAAGCCCGACATGGAGCTCCATCTCATGAACTGAGCTGAAACCAGGAGTCAGACGCTTAACCAACTGAGCCGCCCAAATGCTCCTTCTTTTAGGAGTTTCAGGTCTTATATTTAGGTCTTTAATCCATTTTGAGGTGTTTTTTATTTTTATATGGTTTAGGAAAGTAGTCCAGTTTAATTCTTTTGCATGTGACTGTCCACTTTTCTCAGCACCATTTGTCGCTCAGACTCTTTTCCACATTGTACATTCTTATTACCTGATTTTTCTTAGGTTAATTGATCATATAATGGTGGGTTTATTTCTGGACTGTCTGTTCTGTTCCATTGATCTGCTTTTGTGCCAGTACCATAACTTTTGATTATTATTACTTTGTAGTATAGTTTGAAATCTGCAATTGTGTTGAACTCCAGCTTTTTTCTTCTTTCTGAAGATTGCTTTGGCTATTTGGCTTGATGATTCTGCATCAAGATCTTTGTGATTCAACATAAATTTTAGGATTATGTATTTTAGTTCTTTGAAAAATACTGTTTGTATTTTGATAAGGATTGCAATAAATCTGTAGATTGTTTTGAGTGGTATAGACTTTTTTTTAAGATATTATTTATTTGAGAGAGAGAGCATGAGCAGGGGGAGGGGCAGAGGGAGAGGGAGCAGCAGAGCCCACACGGTGCTCCATCCCAGGACCCTAGGATCATGATCTGAGCCGAAGGTAGACATTTAACCAACTGAGCCACCCAGACGCCCCGAGTGGTATAGACATTTGAACAGTATTCTTTTAGTCCTTGAGTATAGTATATCTATCCTTTCTTTGTGTCATCTTCAGTTTCTTTCATCATTGTATTACAGTCTTCAGAGTACAGGACTTTTCGCCTTTTTGGTTAACTTTACTCCTAGATGTTTTATTCTTTTTTTTTTTTTTTTTTTTAAGATTTTATTTATTTATTTGAGACAGAGAGAATGAGAGAGACAGAGAGCACATGAGAGTGGGGAGAGTCAGAGGGAGAAGCAGGCTCCCTGCTGAGCAGGGAGCCCGATGCGGGACTTGATCCCGGGACTCCGGGATCATGACCTGAGCCGAAGGCAGTCGCTTAACCAACTGAGCCACCCAGGCGCCCTGTTTTATTCTTTTTGATGCAGTTGTAAATGGGATTGTTTTCTTAATGTCCCTTTTTTATAGTTATCAATGTAGAGAAGTGTAACAGATACTACTGATCCTGCTGCAACTTCAGTAAATTTATTCTAACAATTTTTGGTAGAGTCTTACGGCTTTCTATATATAATACTGTGTCATTTGCAAATGGTGACAGTTTTACTTCTTACCAATTTGGATGCCTTTTATTTCTTTTTTATGTCTGATTGCTGTGGCTAGGATTTCCAATACTATTTTGAATAAAAATGGCAAGAATAGTCATGTTTGCCTTCTTCCTCATCTTGGAAAACTTTTCAGCTTTTTACCATTGAGAATGGTATTAGCTTGGGTTTGTTATATGTATTATGTTGAAGTATGTTCCCTCTATCCTGTTTTGTTGAGCATTATCATCATGAACAGATTCTATTGTACTTTGTTATGTGCTTTTTTTCATCTGTGGAAATGATATGATTTTTATCCTTCCTTTTGTAAATGTAGTGTATCATGTTGATTGATTTATGGATATTGAACCATCCTTACATCCCTGGAACAAATCCCACTTGATATGGTGAATGATACTTTCAGTGTATTGTTGAAGTCAGTTGCTAATACTTTGTTGTGGATTTCTACATCAGTGTTCATCACAGACACAGGCTTGTAATTTTCTTTTTTAGTAGTGTCTCCGTGTGTTTTAAGAATTTTGATTATGCTGGCCTCATAGAATGAATTTGGAAGCATTCCTTCTTCAATTTTTTTTAAATAATTTGACAAAGAATAGATATTAACTCTCATTTAAATGTTTGGTATAATGTACCTGTGAAGCCATTTAGTCTTAGACTTTCGTTTGTTTGGAGTTTTTTGATTATCAGT